ACTATAAGTTCTTCATAATTTGTTGTTCAACATAAAAGTAAGTAGAATATTTATAAGCAGTGATTTCTGTTTTTTGCGTGCATCATGGTTTATGAGGAAAAGATGTAATTTGTGCATATTGCAATGTTATTTGTGGCAATATGAAAAGTTATGAAAAAATGGAAGTGCGACGTTTCTTACCGTAGACCATTGTATGTTGTTGTCGAAGCATTGCTTCGTAGTATTTATTGCGTTTGTGATATTCAATGAACTGTGGCAGTGTGGAAGGTCAATGAATGGTTGTGACGGTTCTATAATGATTGTTAATGTTATTGTCGTCATCATAGCTAGGTGTATAGCAATGTTCATGATAACAGTTGAACTATAATGATTTCCAGACATCATAAAATTGTTTGTGTTCTTATACTGTTGTGATACGACCACGATTTCATTGAAATGCATGTCATAGTGATGCTTATTCGGCGTAGCGTGCGTAGGTGCGTGTGCATGTACAGGTCTGCGTGCGTGCGTACGTGGTCCAAAATAGGACGTTCAAATCTCTCCCATAGGAGTAACAACTGTATGCAATTTGAAACATGTGGGTCAAATGGTTCTTGAGTTATCGTTGACCGTAGGCAGACACTAAAATGCATAGTAAAATTGCCCAAATCTACCTAATTTGCATAATGAAAAAAAAAATAAAAACTAGTGTGATATGTTTTGGGGCTAGTCCTCATTCATTCACGTACCAGAAATGAGCAAAATCCGTTGAACCTGAACTGACTTATGGCTATTTCCTTTTTTGCTAAAAAGTGGATGTGGCTCGAAAGTAGGTCGACTGACGTGCTCCAAAATAGGACGTTCAAACCTCTCTCATAGGAGTAACAATTATATGCAATTTGAAACATGTGGGTCAAACGGTTCTTGAGTTATCGTTGACCATAGCCAAATGTTGACGGACGAACGGACGGATGAACGGACGTACGACAGACGACACCACATGGCAATAGCTCATCTTGACGATGTCAAGGCGAGCTAAAAAATAACTGTGTTTTGATTATGTATCGTACCCTTCACGTCCGATTCCGGACATCTTGAATCCACCGAATGGACTTGCAGGACTGCCAGCGTTGTAGCAGTTCACCCTACAAGAACACACATTAAGTAGTAGTAAGTTATACGCACGTATGTCGAGCATCAGTCTGGGATTACCAAACACGTAGGTAGCGAAATCTTGGTGAATAATATGCAAACGTGTGCACTGACAAGGGAAGACTTGCAACTGCAGATAAAATTTTCATTCAACTATCGACACTGCATATACAGCCGCTACAAGTACACGGGACATGCTGCCCAGCGTGCTGCTAATATATAGTTCTAATGTGCAGCTGTCTTGGATAACATTAAAATATATAAAAATATAAACATATAAATATAAATAAATAAATATATATATATATATATATATATATATATATATATATATATATATATA